GGGAGGGGCTCAGAGATAGCAAATACTGTCATCCTATTGGTCCACGTGGAAGTGGGCGGAGCCAGTCACCAATAACTGTAATTATTTTCTTCACTCTTTACTTTGTTCGTTCCGTTGACTTCTTCAGTGCATAATTTAGCATTTTTTTTAACAGCGTTGTGTTCTTATGACGACCAAACCGGGCTTTAATAATACCGGTGGAAAGATTTCTCAGGAACTTCTAACGTTTAACGCAAAAGGAGCTTTTAAGTGGATGACAAATCGGATATTAAACCCTCCCGGAATCTTGAGATGCTGCTCAAGACACGCCAAGGGGAGAGAGTATAGCAATACTGTAAAATAATAATAATCATCATCATAATCATAATAGTTTGTATGTAGTGCATTGACTGATTGGTGTGCACCAACACACACTCGTGCGCACTGCTTTCTACCGTGTGTCCTCTATAGCTGCACTGAGATGTGGATGTTCTTTCAAATAAAGTCACCATTTAAACTGTTTCAGCTGTGTGTGTGTGTGTGTGTGTGTGTGTGTGTGTGTGTGTGTGTGTGTGTGTGTGTGTGTGTGTGTGTGTGTGAGTGTGAGTGTGAGTGTGAGTGTGTGAGTGAGTGAGTGAGTGTGTGTGTGTGTGTGTGTGTGTGTGTGTGTGTGTGTGTGTGTGTGAGTGTGAGTGTGAGTGTGTGTTAATAATGCTTCCTTAATGTTCGCGGTTTGACAAGGCCGTTAGAAAGCTGTTGTTAACCACAAATACCAGGAACAGGAAGTGCTGCATTTCTGTATTTAAATGAATGGGATGCTTGAGATGTAGTGCATGAGGATGATCATATGTTAAGCATCCCGTTAGCTATCATTTTGTTATATGCTTTCTAAATGTTTTCATGTATAAAGGCCAACTTTATATGCTTTTTAATATATGTAAATCTATATATGTAGATTATACAGTGTAAACATTTTTTTAGATTTATGTTTGACACGCATACGCACACTACCTGACAAAAGTCTTGTCGTGGACTTGTTGATCTGCCTCCCAATCATCACAAATACTGCAGAAAACCTAGTGGAACCCGCATGGAGCCAAGATTCTACAGAAATCAGTCAAGTTTGGTGAAGGAAAGATCATGGTTTGGGGTTACATTCAGTTTGGAGGCGTGCGAGAGATCTGCAACATAGACAGCATGTTGTATCAAAACATTAGTGCTGCCCATTACATTACAAACCACAGGAGAGGGACAATTCTCCAGCAGGATAGCGCTCCTGCTCATACTTCAGCCTCCACATCAAAGCTCCTGAAAGCAAAGAAGGTGAAGGTGCTCCAGCATTGGCCAGCCCAGTCACCTGACATGAACATTATTGAGCATACCTGGGGTAAGATGAAGGAGGAGGCATTGAAGATGAATCCAAAGATTCTTGATGAACTCTGGGAGTCCTGCAGGAACCTTTTATTTGCCATTCCAGATGACTTTATTAATCAGTGATGTGAGTCAGTGCAGAGATGTATGGATGCAGTCCTCCAAGCTCATGATGGAGTCAGACACAATATTCATTCTTGACTTTATACTCTATACTGGACATTATTTCTGTTCAGTGATGAAACTTTAGTCTAAGAAAAGTCAGACCTTACTGTCCTAATGAAATCATTAATAATCAAGGCATGATCATATTTGATTTTGGTCAAATTAGCGTAATCTAGAGGCCTTTGCTTATCGTTTGAGCTCCTTCTGATACCAAATGATCAACTAAATGTCAAGTTATTATTTGTTGTTCCTAAAACTTGAATGGGCGACAAGACTTTTATCAGGTAGTGTATATATATAAATATGAAAATGTTTAGATTGTTATAAATTAAGCTCTAATACTTAATATGCATATTTAAATAAACATATTTCATTTTATTTAAAGCTTTTATCATTATTATTATTATTAAAATAATGTATGTTTATACTGAAAAAATCTAATTTTTGTGATGTATTGTTAATATTATATTATTTATAATAATTAAATTTTCTTATTAAAAAATTAAATATGTTTTACAGACTGTTTTTTATGTCTGAAGCTATAAAATATTTTTTTAATTTGTAAACTAGTATTTAGACCATGATTATTGTTTATTACACTAAACCCCAATCCTAAATTTCCTAAAAACGTCTTATAATTTCCTAACAAATTTCTTAAGCTTTATACTTTTTTTGTATGTGAATTTATACAATGACAATTTTTATATTATAACGTAGAAAATTATTTTAAAATATATTTACTTTTTAAAATTTTAAATTGTAAGAAAACACTTACAATTTAATGTTTAACAAAAATTTTGATTAATAAAGAATATAATATTAAAAAAATAAATATTTCAATATAAAATATACATTATTTTAATAATAATAATGATAAAAGCTTTAGATAAAATGAAATATGTTTATTTAAATGTGTATATTTAGTATTAGGGCTTAATTTAATACAATATAAACATTTTCATGTGGCATGGTGACCAGGCACTGTCGCCTTACAGCAAGAAGGTCACTGGTTCGAGTCCCGGCTGGGCCAGTTGGCATTTCTGTGTGCATGTTCTCCACATGTTGCCGTGGGTTTCCTCCGGGGGCTCCGGTTTCCCCCACAATTCCAACACATGCGCTATAGAGGAATTGATGAACTAAATTGGCCATAGTGTATAAGTGTGTATGGGTGTTTCCCAGTACTGGGTTGCAGCTAGAAGGGCATTCGCTGTGTAAAACATATGCTGGATAAGTTGCCGGTTCATTCCTCTGTGGCGACCCCCGATTAATAAAGGGACTAAGTCGAAGGAAAATGAATTAATGACTTTACTTTCTATTATATTAAACTTATTGACTACGCGTTCTCTATATTATACAAGAGACTAATTTCCACAAATAATACTCAATTTACATGATAAAAAATAGTATAAAAAATAGTATAGATATATTTTGAATATATTAAACCATAACGCCAACACTTATAGTATATATATATATATATATATATATATATATATATATATATATATATATATATATATATTATGTATGTATATAGATATATATTTTTATGTACAAATGCAATTTTGACTTAGATATTTAAAATATATATAACTATAATACTGCACACTTTAATACCCTAATGTTAGTGTATTATTTAATACTGTTTATATATTTTATTTATCAATTTAGATATTAGCAACTCAATTTAATTTAAAAAAGCGAGTTTTAACAACTTTCTGCAGTTTTACATAACCTTGCTAAACCAATTTGTGTATTATTAATATAATAATTAACATCAGCTCCTATTTCTCTCATACCCATTATTAATCAATACTATCCTAAACTATTTGCATTAAAAACTCAATAACCCAATGAATAACCATATTATTCATTTTACTTGTTCAATGCATTAAGTGATGACTATATCTTCACATAATAAAAGTCATACATCTGAATCTGGCAAAAACACATTTACTACAAGGTCAGGAGATGTTTGAGGTCGACTCGAGTCTTTGCTATTTTTGCTGTGGATGGAAGAGCTTTTATTCTCCTGAGCTTCTCAAATATCAATCAATACAGATCAGCAGAAGCTTTTAGTGAGCCGGTGGACTCCCATATACACCTCCGCGTCTGGGAGGAAGAAACATCCTCTGGTAACAGGCACATCTGAAATCTAAACATTGTAGATGAATTATTAGAAAATGTGTTTAATTTTTGTTTTATATTAGTGCGGTCAAATGGTTTATCGTGATTTGTTGTATGCCCAATAAAAGTTCGTGTTTAAAAAATATGTTTGTGTCAAATTTATTATGTGTTATATATTAGAAACTTTTTAATTTAAATTTATATAAGCTTGTATACATTATTAATATTTATTTTTTTAATTAAATAATTAAATTACATTTTATATTATTTATATTTATTATAAGCAAAAAATCATAATAATATTTTTCTTTCTATGACATTAAACCATACATTTTTTAACTATAAAAGATTTCTGAGAAAATGTTTATTTAAATTAAACAATATGTTTCTTATTTATGTAATGTTTCTATGTTTCTCTCATTTAATTATTTAATAAAATATTTATATATTAATTTATACAAGTTTAAATTTAAATTAGAAGTATAAGTTGACTTGTTATTTATTACAAGTATAAATTTAAATACATATTTTCTCAAATATGTAAGGAAATATATATACATAGACAATATGTTTCCCTGGATATCTGATTTATGTTTAGGTGTCTGAATAAAATAAAAATTTTGTTTTAATCTAAAAACTACTGAAGAGTTTTTGTGCCATTTTTAGAGGATATGATTAATTATGATTAATAACTTTGATTTTCTATCACAACCAATAAAAACACACTCAAAAAATTACTGTTTAATCAAACTACTTATAAAAAAAGGAGCTGAAAGAACACAATACATGAGGTATTTTTTGACAAATTAATTGTTTTATGTTCAATCCACTTAAATTTGTGTAAAGTAAACCCAACTTAATTTCTTTAAGTCGTGCCAACACAAATAGATTGTGCATTCTTTACAGTGTAGTTGTTATTCTGACCATTTTGTGAATGAAAAAAAACCCTCGAAATTACAGTATTTTTATTTGAAATGTGTATGAAAGGGTTCTTACATCATTATAAAATAAAACAACATTTTACTCAAACCCTTCCCTAATAAATACTAACGTTACAGTAAATCTGAGAGAACTCGCAAGCGGTATTCATGCTTTAGCTACCCCCAAATATTTAACCTATTTAAATACTGTATGTGTGTAATAAATATATATTAGGTAAACACAAACATACATATTAAATGCGATTAATCTCAAATAATCGTTTGTCAGTACTGCTTTTTTAAATATTAAACGAACTACTCGACGGAAAAGTAATGAGGGAAGGCGCCAGAAGTAGTTCCCTAGGCTAGCGTGTATCCTTGCGCGTCACAGTGTGTAGAACGCAATAGGAAAGTAGCCCCGGTCAGTTTTCAGTCAGCTGTCAAACACACTACAGGAATTGCAGCGGGCACAAACACACACGACCATCAGTTTACACACTATATGACTCGTTTTTACTACGTTTCTGGATATTTCGCCGATTTAAATGCGTCTGGAGCTCAGGAGGAGGTAAAACCCGATTTATACATCTTAAATCCATGCTAAATACTTAATTGAAGTGCATGAGGTGACACATTTATCAACTTAAGTTAATAAGTTTATCTTCTTATTTGTAGAGTAAATAACCGTTAAACATACTTGTAAATGATTTCAAACGTGTAACGTTAACAAGGAGTTATTCAAGAAGAGGAGAATTAGAAACCAAAACGTTGAGGACAGTGAAAGTACCGACATTTCCAGCTCAGGATCAACTTGTGCTTTTGCTAAACTGTTTTTACGACACAACTCGATTATAAACTCCAACGAAATTAGGTTTATTTGATGTTTTATGGTGTTTTGGTAAGTGCTAATCTCAGGTCTCGTGATTGACAGTCATGCTAATCGGCTAACGCGTCACTTTGATTTATAAACTTTTCAAAGTTCACTTTTATGAAGGGTTTGTTAAAGACATGTATAATGTGTTTTAAAAGAAGCGGAAGTCGTAAAAAGTGTGTGTATGTAACTGTTATAATTGTGTGCTGCTAAAAGTATGTGTTTTTATGCTGACTCAATGTGTGAAAAACAATATAAACTAAAAGTTCCCAAAATACTTTTCAAGTCACCCATTTTTGTTTTGTTTTGTCTTTTTATTGTTGACACAGTTATGTAATTTAAATAAATAATGTCTTTAGAAAAGAGAATGGATAAAGCACTTGCAGTGATAGTCATGCTTTTTTCAATTGGATTTCCCTGGAATCATATGACACTAAGTAGGGATGTGTCTTAATACATATTGAGTTCACTTCGCTGCCTGCTACGGATGCATTTTTGGGTATTATTTTACGTAAGGGATAGTTTACCCAGAAATTTTCTTTTCTTTTTATTTCTTCCTTTAGTAAGTTCATCCTAGATCAGACAGTAAATAACACAGTAAGTACAATATACATAATATTGATACATATAGATATATGAAACATGCCATAAAAACACGCACTGATACAATTTATTAAACAAGAAATTATCAGGAAGATGTAATTATATACGGGCTGACAACTGTGGCTCAGTGGTTAGCACTGTCCCCTCACAGCAAGAAGGTTGCTGGTTCGAGCTCCGTCTGGGTCAGTTAGCATTTCTGTGTGGAGTTTGCATGTTCTCCTCGTGTTGGCGTGGGTTATTTCCGGGTGCTCTAGTTCCCCCCACAGTCCAAACACATGCGATATTGGTGAATTGGATAAACTAAATTGTGTGAATGCAAGAGTGTATGCGTGTTTCCCAGTGCTGGGTTGGCCGAGAGAGATTAACGCGCTGCAATTTAAGAAAGCACATGCAATTACAAAAAACACCTGTAAATAAAGAAACGATCTTTTCAGTTTGACAGCACACGTGTTGCAAATTGAGCACAACAGTAACTGAAGAAACATGCAAGTTGTTTTTCATTTATTTTAATATCCTGATTAAACGACATAACATCTATATCTTAGCAGGGTTGGTCATGTTTTTTGGGTCGCCTTGAAACATTTCCATTGTGCTAGTTGGATATTTGCAAATGTTGTGACCAATTTGCAGTGCGCTTCTTCAGTTGTTTGTGTTGCGACCAATTTGCAACACGTGTGCTGTCAAATTGATGAAGATCGTCTCTTTATTTGCTGGTGTTTATTTGTAATTGCATGTGCTTTCTTAAATTGCAGCGCGTTACGCTCTCTCGGCCACCGTAGGATCCGCTGTGTAAAACATATGCTGGATAAGTTGGTGGGTCATTCCACTGTGGTGACCCCTGAATAATTAAGGGACTAACCCGAAAAGAAAATGAATGAATAATTTTACACTACATAATTATGTAAATATTAAAGAAAAATATCACAAATATTTACACAGAAATATACACATAAAATAGAATGAAAATAATAATAATAAATAGACAAACAATATGGAAAATAATAAAATATTTTTTATAAAAAATATAAAAGTAATAAAATATAAATATATATTTTTATTATTAAATTATTATATGTATTATAAAAATATGTATTATTAAATTGTATTAAATGTATTATTAAATTATTATTATTAATAATAATTATTATTATAATTTTATTATTAAACATATTCAATTATAATAATTTTTTGATAGGGCAAGTGAAAATCTTTTCCAATGAATATTCGAAAAAAATCCTTTTCATAATAGTCCTAAAAATGTCTCTTAAATTTAACATGGTGAAACCTGCAGAAACCCTGCATAAGGCAAATCACAACCATAAATAAACACTTGTGAATCACTAAATGTACAGTGTTATGCTGTTTGACTATTGATATGTTTTTGGTCACGATGTGCATCTATTTTTCTAACTGCTTGCTCATTCAAGCATGCATATTCTGTTCAAATATGTGCTTTGGCATGCATTTATTAGTTCTGTCTGCAGGCTGCATGCATAACCGTTCCCCATTAAAAAAGTGAATGTTACTGTTGTTTCCTCTCAGGCCGGTGCAGGATGATTCCTGTGGTTCCTGTGGAGTCCTGCACTCACGTCCTGGCAGAGTTTGACTGTCTGGAACCCCTGCTTTCTGCCCTGCGACTGGACTCCGGACGCATCAAAGTAAACCGCACATTTACTGCCACAGTTTACTGTTGTGATAAGTTTTTATGGCGATCGCTTTGGGTTATTCAAACTGACCTGAATCGCAGTTTGTGTTGTTTACCTTTCAGCGAGCGTTTCTCAGTTTCTGTTCTGTTTATTTGATTTCCTGCTGTAAGAATTATTCCACGAATGATTGAATCTAGCATGCATGATTGGATCATAAAGACAAACAAAAAAAATATAAGTCCAAGGTACTTGAAAAGTAAGTGAACAAATTAGAAATCCTTTATTATTAAAAAAAACCCAAAAAAAACGGCACTATTGTTTACCACACCCACGTGTTTCATATCGGGTCAAATTTGACGGAAAAAAAAAAATAAATAAATAAATAAATTTATTTAATTTAATATATTTATTTAAAAGAAAAAAATATATATATATATATATATATATATATATATATAT